TGCAATGGGTCTCAAGATCTCACGGTTCGTCGCTCTTTTTCTGATGGAATTTCTAGCGAGATTTGGGAAATACGGTGTATTTATCTCGTCGATTATCGAGTTAAACGTGACGGGTTCATGGCAAAGATAGTCGGCACGTTGATTTTCCCACGTGTACATACCCCTCGGGGGTTGTTCGAAACAACCTCGCCTACGCGTAAATACTAAACAGTCTTTCCATGCCTTAAATTGATTCTGATCACGCGTTTGGATTGACCTTGGATTGACCCTTGTTTCTTACTCCCAACACGACAAAGCCTGTGTGTAACTTCCCAGCTCTGTGTTCTCGCGGATACTGAACAACATACCTTCTGCAGCGCGGATATGGAGATCGCACGACTGCTGTATTCTCCCTTTCGAGTCTCCGACACCTCGAGCTCCGCAACTGGCAGTTTCGAAACCCTTTGGAACTCCAATCGTTCTTGAATCTGAGCACCTCTCTTCAAGAACTGATGGCACTCAACAGAATCAGTTTTTTGGAGAGGGTAGAAACAGCTTCCAGAACAGTCCCGCCGCTGCGCAGAGGAAGTGATGACGTGGGATTAGTCCTAAAGTCATTGTATTTGATTCGCATCGAGCCGCTCGTTGTCGAGATGACGCTGGAATCCTTCACCACGGTGGATATCAAGCATCTGAAATCAGTCTCCTTTCTCATCAGTCCACTATCTGGCCTTCTACGAGCAAATATGGGCTCACTGCAGAAAGTCAAAATCGATCATATAAATATACCTGGTGCGTGTGAATTCTTTTGTTTTCCCTCCATCCGTCTAATACATATCTTATGCAAAAAGGCTTCGAGAACGAAATCGATCCGGACATCCTAACTTCCGCAAACTATCTTTCTTCCATCGAATTTGAACAATCTTACTTGGAGGACACTCCCTTCCGCCTCTTCGGTGATTTGGCGAATCTGAGGGCCCTTACAACGATCCAGATCCTGCTTTCAGATGACTTGCACGAGAATCTGGGTGAGGTTGAGGTACAACACTGGGCAAAAGTCGATGCATCTCTGGTGCGAGCACATAGCGCCGAGGTCAACATATATGCGTCCTTCTGCGAAGGTCTGCATTGTATACGGCCGCATCGTATGGATCTACACGCTGTTGAAGTTGTCGAGAAATGGTTGCCGTTGGTGTCGAGCAGCGGGAGGTTGCACGTCTATTCCAGGGCCGATTGCTCACCGTTGAATACCTATTAAACTGCTTGCAGTAATAAAACTTTGCTCAACTGTAGTGGGCTCAAAATCCTGTGTCTGGTTTGCAAGTTACGCGACGACGCGAATATAATATATTTCTCCATATGTATCGTGCCAGACTTTTTGAATAAAGGTACCTTGAACTAATTACAGTATTGATACAATGAAGAGTACTGTAGTGTGTGTATGTACTCGCCGACCCAGAACCGCGCGCAAAACCAAAAGTTTTAAAGAGAGAGAGAGAGAGAGAGAGAAACAAGCAAGCGGGAAGGGAATAGGTTTTGGATTGTCATGATCAGTCAGTTGGTTGTTATACTAGTAATACTACACGACGACACTGCTTTTGGCAGCCGTGCGCGAACAGCGGGCGGGATACGCGATAGAATATATATCGTAGAGGATGGGTAAGAGATGAGGGTAAGACAGAGCAGTAAACGCACAACAGGTAAGTGGATGGATGAGGTGGAGGGTGGAGGTGGGGATGAAGGGCATCGGAATCGTGAGCGGCGTCAGATAAACAAAAAAAGAGGCAGAAAATCAAGCGCGAGTTTAATTATAATAGATAAGTGGAGAGAGCGTCCGCGGCGGAAGTTGCGCGGGCACGTATAAGGGACAGCACCCGATGAGTCGTGAACCGTCTACTCGTCGAGGGAGAACAGGTCGTCGTCCGCGGTGACGACTGGTCCACCGAGCGGGCTCATCGGCGCGCCACCCTGCCACTTTGCGCCCCCGCTTACATTGCGCTGCATCGGCGGCGCCGCCACCACGGGCACCCCGCCCGCACCCGTGCGCGCCGCGGCTGAGTAGGACCGCTGCGAGAACATCGTCTCGAGCCCGGACCCAGCATTTGTAGGCGGGGACGCCACGACGCCCTTCGGCGCCGCTGCGGGAGTCGGGGAGGGGGCAGGCGCGGGCTTGGTGCTGCTCATGTAGCTGAGGAACCCCGGACTCCCGCTAATACTCCCGGTGCTCATCGTCGCCCAGTCGCGCGATGCGCCGTAGCCAGGAGACGTGCCGCCGAAGGCCGCGGGCGAGGGCGAGCCCGCGGTGGGTGGAAGCGGGGGGAGCGCGTGGATGCGCGAGTAGCCCGCGGCGAGGCCCTGTGGGAGGGACTGCCCCGGCGCGTGCGCCTGCAGCGCGCGCGCGTTGGGGGAGAGGATGTGCGTGTCGCCGGCGCCGGGGACGCTCGGCGGTGGGGGCTGGGCGTGCAGCTGCTGCGTGAGGTCGAAGGGGTTGGGGCGCACGTAGGGCGAGGCGGCGTTGTTGATGGCGACGCCGGGGCCGGACTGGAGGTAGTGGGCGATGCCGGGTGGGCCTTGCTGTTGGGCGGTGTTGGAGGCGAACAGGCCGTTAGTAGGGTTGCTGGTTGCGCGCGCGCCTTGCTGTTTGTTCATGTAGTGGTGGATGCCAGGGAGGAAAGCGGCGCTCGCGTTGCTGGGGGAGAGCGAGGGGAGGGTACGCTCTGCGAAGGAGGACGGCGCGCCGTCGAACTCGCGGCCGCCAAAGCCAGAAGCGGAGGAGTAGGAGCTCGGGCCAAGGCCTCTTGGAGACGCAGGGAGACCCGACGCCTGCGGGACAGGTGGTGGAGCGCCACCCTGGTCGGCCCAGATGGACTTGAGGTCGCCCCCGAGGAGAGAAGGCGCGGGGACAGAACGGGAGTAGCGGTGCCCACCTCCACCTGCGCCGGGACCCAAGGGAACACCCAAGCCGTGTCGATGCGGCGACGAACCCTCGAATCCACCGCCCACACCTGGTGACTGCCCAGAGTTCGACCTCGACATGCGCCGGCTCCGCTCCTCTGGCGTCAAGAGATCCGTGAGGGAGCTCGGGAGGAAGTCCTCGAGATCCTCGTTGGAGTCCTCGGTCGGCTTCCGCCGCCCCTTGGCGGCGAGCTCCTCGTACTCGATCGAGATGTCGTAGTCGCCGCCATTAACACGTCCGTTCGTCCTGCCAGCAGAAAGGAGCGACGCGCGCATGGGCGATGATGACGTCCCATTGGCATTCCAGCCGCCCGGGCCGCCGCCCATCGCGATACCGCTGCCCAGACTGGCGGCCATGCCCTTGCGACCGCCGTCGCTGTACCCCAGGAACATGGACTGGGATCCGGGCGCAGAGAAAGGCGAAGTGGAGAGGAAACCGTTGGCCTGGGTGGGTGGTGTGCCGGAATGCATGCGCGACGATGGCGAGGTCGCAGACGACGGGGGCGAGCCGATAGGGCCAAAGTCCTTGCTGGGGGAGCTCATGCTGGGACGGCGCGGGGCGGAGACGGGGAGGGTCGGAGACGGCGGTTTTGTGGCGGTCGGGGATGGGGACTTATTGCGGGCCGGAGCGGTGGGGAGCTGACTACTCTCGTCGAGAACCCCAAAAGACGCAAAATCGGTGTCCTTGAGCGGGGGAGCAGGTGCCGAAGGGGATATTGTCGCTTTAAGGGGCATATTCATGGGCGGCCTTGCGCGTGTGGGCGCAGTGGATCCGCCGGCGAGCAGGGGGTTCCTCGAGTTGTTTCCCCCGTCGCGCTTGCTGCCCCCACGGCCTTTTCCTTCCCCGTTTTTGGCGCCCCCAGCGGCAATCTGGGCAGCTTTTTTGTTCTTGCGGTCCATGGCCATCGTCTGGCCGGGCAGAACATGGGCCAAGGCACATTTGTGGCCAAACTTGCAATTGCCTTTTACAAACCATGCACAGACGTCCTTCTGTCCGCCAGGCTCGACCATACTGTGGGAGAAGGGACAGGAGGACCCCGCGGTACAAGACCCGACCTTGTAGAATTTGCACGGCACATGCGACAGATCTTTTGCTGCTGCAGGGTTCAGACGACGAAAAAAACGAGAGAAAAGGGCCGCATCGCACCCTTTGACGCGGACGATTTCTTGTTTCCCCCTCTGCCGCCGTCGTTTTCTCGATCATCGGGCGAGTCGCTGCGGTCTGCTGAAGGCATTTACAAGGGCTGTGGGCGGCAGAAAAGACGAGGAAAAAGTCGGAAAGGCTGGGATATGTGGGGGATAGTCTGTCGGAGAACGGCGTATATAAACTCGAAGGACGATGGCGCTCAAGCAAGACGCACAAAAAAGGACGAAAAGTGCTGATGAAACGAGGTCCAGGCTGACAAAGCAAGATCCGCTTTTGGTCTTTTCCCGCGTTCCTCTTGTGTCCTCTTATTCTCCCCGTGGAGCAACAACAGCCTATTGCTGCTGTAGAGCCTCTCAGACTGACTCTGTCTGACCAAATAGGACTGGAGAGCGACCTCAGCTTGCTGTTTTTGCGCGAATTTTGCGCGAATTCGTTTTTTCGCGATGGCTGGTTATAATCTCCAGCGTCGCCTAGGCCGGTGCCTGGTCCTTTTTTCAATCAATAAATCTGCCGAGGATCTGACCGTCTGAATTCTATTTATCTCGGACTTGTCAAGTTGTTCGCTAAATTACTTGAGTTGTCAAAAATTCTGACTGGCAACATGGTTTCGTTCAGTGTACGTGGTCCACGAGGCACAATTCCGTTCTGCTACGCCACACCATTCCAACCATTCCAACCTCTTGACGCCTTACGAGTCGAGACCGGTTTACTGTTACTTAACGGTCAAGAATGCTGTGATGCCGCTTGTATTTTCGTCAGCCAGACTCAGAGGTAACGAGAGGCGGGTCAGGAAACGTGCTGTGGTCTAGCTCCGAGAGTCCTGTGTGTTCAGCCCAAACCCCAATGCTTGAATTTAATTTTTTGCGCGAGCTTTCTCATCTGGCGTGGTCTTATCCCATTAAATCGAGTTCGTAACATGTCTTGACTAGTATATCGGTTTAGTACACGCGCTTGTCATGTGTAATCATTTCGCGCGAAAGCTGGGTTCGACTCCCAGGTCGAGAGTTCTTTTTTTCGCATTTTATTTTTTATTTTGTCTACTGTCGCTTCTATTTTCAGTTTCTGGTTCGCTTAAAAGGGGCTCATCAAAGAAAAGCTGAGAAGTATTTCACCGCCTCTCAATTCCAGTGTCCGGAGTTGAACGATTAAATTCACGATGCAGAAAGTCTTGACTAGTATATCGGTTTAGTACACGCGCTTGTCATATCTCTGGTCGTAATCAGTGCGCGCGAAAGCTGGCTTCGACTCCCAGGTCGAGAGATGTCTTTTTGGACGGAATTCCTTCGATGGTAAGTATTTTCTTCTTCACCCAAACGGAGGGTAATCATTGATCAACCAGCGATCTTGAGGGAGCGGGCCCACCTAATTTGTATGCCGTTGCTTCTGACACTAGTATGGAATATTTAGAGTATAATAAGCTCGGACACTAACGTCTCGGAGGACGTAGATATGAAGAGTTGAATCTGAATGGTGAAGTTCAAAGCCCACTATGTCTTGAGGCTGTAGCAATCTTTGCGCGAAGCTTGGTTCGACTCTCCCAAGTCGACAGTAATGATTATATGTGCACCTTTCTGCTCTCCTTCTGTCTTGGCGTCTGGCTGAGAGGGGCCCGGCCGGGAGCCTAGCCATTTTATTTTATTTCGGCGACCAAGATACAGGGCAAGTATGCGATACTCAACGACCGACAACGTCAGTACCTCGATTGAAATGAGAATCGGATGTGGTTAGATAGAATATAGCTTTGACGAGCGAGCGCAGGCCCGTCAGGACACAAAATGAAAGAGCACATCGGCGATAAGGGATTGGAGGCGCACCAGGGTTCCAATACAGGCTTGTCGGCGTAGACACTACATTTTGAGGGCCTCTCGGCCGAGGTTGGCCGAGCCCCTCGGCCAACCCGGTCGAGCCCCTCGGCCAACCTCGGCCAACCTCGGCCGACCTCGATCAAGTCGGCCGAGGGGCTGTCAAAATGTAGTGAGAAAGAACATAAAATTGAAGCGCCAAGACCGATCGCAGACGGTCGGAATTAATGTTTGTAAGGAGCTCGACTTCAATAATCAAAGGCGGTGTGGAGGAGGGTGGAGTTTGAGGAAGAATGAGAAGCGTGGGTTTGAGAAGGGTAAAAGACGCGATGCAAAGAGTTCTGCGTGCGTCGGGCAGAAATTATCGGTACAAGAGTGAGTACATGGACGTGGTGGAAGAACAGAATCAAACGTACCGGGGACCATAAGTTTCTTCGCGGGACTCCCAAAATCCGGTTAAAGTTGGGCGCGGCCCCGCCAACTTGAAAGGACAGCGGTGGACCGAATCGGCGAGGGTCAGAGTGGAGACAAGGAACGGCGCTGCGGGTCGGCATCGGAATCGCAAGCGTTGAGGTGAGGGTGGTTTTTCGTAAAGTATATGTCAGGGTTGCAAAGGGAACTCCTAAAATTCACGACGGCGAGAACATTGAGACGGTGTTGGGGGATTCGTGCGTCCGCGTCAATGCCGATCCCGACCAGAACGGAAATAGGATGAAAATGCCTCTGGGACGACCAAGCGCTTTCGGAGCTCGTGGGCCATTGGGAGAACTCTATAGAGTTTGAACGGCGAGCACCGATTTGGACCATCGAGATACAAAAATGAGAGAGCATACGCAACAGGAATAGGAGATGGTTTGAGCCGTACCGAAGCAGAAATACGGCCTCGGCTCGTGGGTGCGAGAAGAACACGAAGGTTGGACGGCAGACGTTCAAGATTGATGTCTGTAAGGAGCCGCGTTGGGATTCGGTTTTCAGCATCACAGGCAGTGGGAGTGAGGGCGCAGTTCGAAGATAAAAAATGAGGCGCGCAGAAGGATGGCGTTGGCGATGGTCGAAAGGGGGTGACAAGGAACTGCGCTGCGAGTGGGCATCAGTATCGCAAGCGCTTGAGATAAAGGTGGTTTTCTTACCCTGTATTGGAGCATCCGTGGACCAAGTCCGGCCGAACTCATGCCAGCGACCCAGAGCATGCCGAGCTAGCAGCGAGTGCAGAAAGGGACAGGCCAAGTGTTTCGCAATTTTTCAGAAGGGGTTCTGCGTGGAAGTGCCGCGAGGCTATATGGAGTTCTGTAGTGGAGAATAAACGATTCGATCCATCTAGAAACGGAGAGGAGCGGAGAGGCCTATCTGGAGGCACGACGGTTGGCTGGGTCTTCGCGGGCGTTAGCGGCGAAAAAAAGGCTCGGACAGATAACTGACCGTGTTGCATTTGCGAAAGATCCTCGAAACATTCAGTTTGCCGACGATCTAGGCCAGAATGTGTAATGGAGGAACAACCACTCTATCCATAAATGATATTGCGGCCACTGGCAACGGTAAAGCGTCTGGATGTTGCCAGTATTTCCAAACGTCGAGTGGACGATGGGGGTTTGGGAGGCGGGGACGATGGCGATTTACAACTCGACTTTCAGGAGTGCAAACCGGCGATCGTCTAAAATCCGGCGTCCGGTATGTGAACCTGAAAACGGTCAACTAGCGAGGCAACGAAGAAAAACCAAAAATAGATTTTTTTCAGTCGCGCGCCAACAATTAACATATTCAGGTGGCGGGCGATTCATAAAGCTATCATCCGAGCTTTCATCGATGGTCTCTTCGGAGGTGAGAATCGGAAATGAGTAAACCGGGAGGACGCCATCCATGTCGTTGGAACCAGCGATGCAGGGTTGACGATTTGGCAACTTGAAGATGCCAAGGATGGCAAGCTCATCCATGCTGCCGGCGGCTAAGTAGACTTGTAGTTACATAGGATCTTCGTGAGTCGCGAACATCCCCGCGACAATCTGCAAATCCTGCGAGCAACTCCGATGGCTGCAATGGGTAACTCCGCTGGAAGATCTCAGAGAATGGCCGATCGGCGGAGGACTGGGACATCATTCGCCTCGCAAATGTGTTAAGAATGCGCTTGTGAGTCCAATGCTGGTGGTGACTCTGCAAACGAACACGGTTCATGTGCATATCGTATGGGAGGATCGGTCTTTGGATTTGCCCGTTGAGAAGTCCCGTGATTTTTTGTACGTCATCATCAACCTTATCGACCTGCCATTCAAATTTACAACTCCGTTCAACACCGAGCTCTGCATCTCAAGTTCGCGCCACCCAGACGGGCGTGTCGGCGGCGGAGACAGCAACAATGTCCACCATGGGACTTAAACCTCCGTTTTGAACATGCTTACACTGATCATTTCAAATTTTTTGAGCGCTAGAATGCTGAACGCGCAAGTCAAGCACATTCTATTGCTTGGCTCGTCACGGAAATGAGCGGTACATAAGGTTGGAGCTCCTTGGTCCGAGTTTCTCCACAACTTGTTCGATGGACCCAGAACCCTCCTCTCGGCGGCGGAGACAGCAGCTGAACAAAGGAAAGGCGTGCTTTAATTGTAGGTCAGTGTATCGGAGGATTTGGACGAGCTTCGATCTGATTTCTTTTTCTTTTTCTTGCAGACGGCGCAAAGTGGTGAGTTGGGGCAGCATATAAATATGCATTGCTCATTGACAACCCCAGAAATGCGACGCCAAAAAACCTATCTGTACGCCCTGCGCCCGATCCACAGGTGGTGGCTTCTATGACTGTGAATTCATTGGGATGGGGTTCAGGCAATCAGAAATCCTCGAAGGTATGAGTATAATTTCTATGTGGATTGAAGCCGAGCCATTGAGCGTTTTTTTTTATAGAGCAGATCTCGATTCTCGAGGCCAGGATCCAAGAATTTGAGCAACCGAAGGGGCAGAGGACGTCGGTCGCATTGCACAACCCATATCAGCCCAGCCACGATCGAGGCTCTTCGAGTCCATCATCCAATGGTTTCGTCTCGAGTGGTTCCGCCTCAAGTCCGAGCACCTCACATCGTGAGTCCATTTATTTTGAGAATTATACATCACTCAGCCTTTTTCAGACAGTCCTAATCTAATACACGAGGTATGTTCTTTGTTAAACATCGATGGTCTAGCCTTGACACAATGTACCAAGCCCCGTTCGCTAGATTTCTCTCTGACGTTGTGAGTGACGGAGCTATGTGTAATTCAATCGAGGCTGACCAGTGCGATAGGATAAGAAGCTTTCTGCTGCACGCCTCACACATTGGATTTTTTTTGGGTCCCCAATTGTTCGAAGTTCTCTCAAGCGGGGCGCCCCGGATGGTATCGCCTGCGCTGCTGGACGTCATCTATCTCTGGGGCGCGCATCTCTCCAGCTCTGATATATTCTCGGTACACGAATCCAAGTTTCTTTCGGACGCACTACGCAGTACCGCAACAGGCCTCTCAAATAGGCACAGTTCCAATGCAATTATACATACGATCCAGGCCGAGGTGCTCCTTGCCCAGTATTTTTTCCGCAATTCGCGTATCCTCGAGGGCAAGTATCATGCCAGTGCCGCGGTGTCCATCACGCTCAGCTCCGGCCTTCACAAAATTCGTTCGACGGACGTACGCGACTCCACGCGGTCGACAGTTAGCTCGCTACCACCTGCCACGACCGCACTCGAGGAGGGAGAGCGTATCAACGTATTCTGGGCCGTGTTAACGCTGAACAACTGCTGGTTCACCGCAGATGGCTCACCTCGAGACCTCTCTTATGCGTTCGTCGATACACCGTGGCCACTCGACATCGAGGCATACTCCGAGGTACATTGATTTATTAATATGACGATATATGCGCACTGATAGACGTTCATAGCATTCTCATCTGTTACCATTCCAGAGCAGCGCGACAATCGAGAATTTCTTGGCTAACTTTCCCGACAGCGGGACATCCCTTTCCGCGCTCTACGCTAAGGCCAGCGTTCTTTTCGAGCAGGCGTCTCGGCTAGCGGCTCGTTTCACCGAAAGTGAGTCCAGATCCTCCCTTCAACAGTGGGACACTCAACTTCGTCAGACGCCGGATTTGGGAACCCTGATACGCTATGTGCCGAATTCAGCACGCTCGATGCAGTGATCGAGTCTTTTAGACGCACGTTACCGCCTCTTGAACAGGATAACACCAACTCTCTCCTCCTGGTCATCCACACCCTCGCGCACGTTGCAACGATCCAGTTGCACAACCCGTTCACCCTCAAGTCAGGTGTCTTGCGGATGCGCGCGGGCTCCGCTGCGAAGGCTGTTGTTGGGCTCGTCCGCCAGACTAACTTGCGCGCCTTTGAGTACATCGATGCGATTGTCGGGGTGAGAAGTTCTCAGTCTTTATTCATAGTGCAGGGTTCATGGTGAATTTCGACAGACCTTGTGGACGGCCGCGTGCCA